TGGGTTTACATAATAGACTATACCTAATAGCTTCTCTTTTGAATGAAGCTTCTGATGCATTTGAAGAACATTTAGCATGCACTGTTGGATGACAATACCGTCCTGCCTTGACATCAAAATTTCTTTCGTGATTAACAAGATTCACCATTTCATATTTATTTTTGAAATGCTGCTTAGGACCATCACTAAAATAAATTAATTTTTTTGGTTTATGATTCTGTTTAAGGTAGGGAACCAATAACACAGGCCAACAAGATTTGATTAAAGTTGAGACCCAGAGACCAGACCTAGTATACCCGAAGGAATTTTATACGCTGAATCTGAATCTGGTCTTAGAATCTAGTTTCTGAGATATCTTAACATGAAAGTGCAAAAAAGACTGTTTTTCGCTGTTTTTGAACTCTTCTTACATCGCTAATTCTATTTTAATCAAAAACTGGATGAGCATTCGAAAAGGCAAGTTGTCTACTTTAAAAAGCACTACATAATTTTTCCAATTAAAATTTTTAAAGCCGAGATATCGTTCTTTGAAATAAAAAATAAAGTGTAGGATTCTTGGAATTTGTTCTGGGGGTTAGCCTGTCATGGGTGTTAGGAATCTAGGGTTCTTGAGGTTTAGATTTGACGTTAACCTGTCGGAGTGTAAAGAATTCGTATTATTTGTGACTTTGAATGTTCGCAATTCTTGTTTCATGCATGTTTTACGTTATTGGATAACTCAGCAATTGGGATTCGTGATTTGACGCCAAAGACATTTTGAATTTATTAATTGCTTAAGATTGTAAGTATTGGCTGAGTAGATTGTATTATTAACTGGAATTTTCAGATTATATATAAATTATTAATCTACACACACACTTTTACACACCTCAGATCATTTTTCATGTAGTTTATTGTACCATTGAAAACTCAAATTTTATCTATTTCAAAGAACGATATCACCGCTTCAAAAATTTCGATTAAAAAAATTAGGTAGTGTTTTTGAATGTAAACAACTTTCCTTTTCAAATGCTATTTCCAGTTTTTGACTAAAATGGAAATTAGCGACGTGAGAAGAGTTCAAAAACAGCGAAAAACAGTCTCTTTTGCACTTTTAGGTTAGGATATCTCAGAAACCGAAGGTGATGGATCAATTCTGAGGCCAGATTAGGATTTGACGCATCAAATTCCTTCAGGTACACTATGTCTGGTCTATGGATCTAAAAACTGTCGGCCTGTGGATATTTCTTGGATAGTGTAAATAGCAGCTGTGTCATGCTTTTTAGACTCGAAAAAAAATATCAAATTTTAATTTATACTAAAGCTTAGAATTTTCAACATAATAATAAACTATTGGAAATACAATAGCCTCATCATTGTTAGAATGATATGCTTGTGCCATAAATTTATAATTTTCAAAAAAATCTAAAACAAATAACAGCTCTCCAGGTTTCAAATTACTTTTCTACGACTCATAAAATTCCGCTTGTTCTTTAATAATAAATGAATGAGTTTTATAACGAGTCGCATTCTCGTTATGTCTCTCTCTCCCTGCAGCCAGTTTATTTATTAATCATATTTATACCTTACCATGCATTATAATAATTTGTAATTTGTAGCGCAGTTGAAATGTCAGCGAACAAGGTAAGAGTCCAGCCCTACGTTCTATACTATCGATAGTCCTTAGCGCGGATGTCGCGGAGAGACCGCGATTGCAAAGGGGAGAGAGAAAGAGAGCGCGCAATGAGGCAGTTGGTATGCGAGCAGAAACAAGTGCGGACGCTAGCATAGTTTGACAGCAACATCTTTTCTTTTGCGTTACGAGGGACTACGAAGGAGTAAGCGAACACGCAGTGGCGATTGTACGAGTCCGAAGATCGCCAGTGATAAGCGAAGACACGTAGTTGACGCTGACAAGAATTCCGTCAGCTTTTTTTTTTTTTTTTTTTTATTTTAACGTCGCTCTATTTATGCTTCATCAGTGCTAATCAGCGACGGAGGCTTGCAATGTGTTTGAGAACAAAGCACATGAAACTTTTTTTAGTGGTGCTTGTATCACTCAGCAGGAACTGGGAATCGAACCCGGGCCTACCGGGTGCGAGTCCGTCGCCCTACCGATCGAGCCATTGCAGGCCTCATTCCGTCAGCTATAAGGCTAAGAAGCGAGAACGTCCGCATGAGTGTAGGCCAGGAGTAAGCGTGGTCGCGATCTATTGTACGTGCGTTTCTGCCGTTCGAATAACCGACGACAACTGCTGTAAGTACCTGCTCGATTCTTCTCTCTCTCTCTCGTTGGCTCTCTCTCTCTCCTATAGCTTGCTAACCGCATTCGTTGCTCTAGTCTTTCGCCCGACCTACGCACCCTGTCATTTTGCTCGGCATTGCGTCTTGCCTCGAGCCGCTTTAAGCGAATCCGTTGTCTGATCTTGCTCGGTCGCTAACAAGATCGGCGCGTTGCGTTTTGTTGTCGCCTTGTTCGCTGCCGCTCACATTTCGTCAATACGCACGCTTGCATGTATTCGTGTGTGCTTAAATATACGATTCATTTCTACTAAAATCCGCAGTGTTTTATTCCGATACACCTGCCTTAGCGCATAACCATTTCGCAGCGAGACTCTTTATGTTCTAAAATAACATTTTTCATGAGGACTTCGACAAATCATTTTTTCTAAATAATCTTTATAATCCGATAATCCAAGTTCTGAATCAGCTGTTAGTTTTTTTTAGGTCAATAGCATCAATCATTAATTTATAGTTTTCGTGTATCGTGCATACACAAACAGTGTGAGTACCGCTGGCACCGGCTAGAATGTAATTTTCTGGGCGCAATTGAGCATACTTGCTAAACCTCGCCGGTGAATCTTTATGTTCTGCTATATAAGTTGAATAAAGATCTTTAAGGTCTAATAATGGCAGGTGTTTTTGTTCATGAGTGCGACTATTGGCAGTTTTAAGAGATATAACGTCTTTTATTCCGGGTCTACTATTCGAGATATAGAAATCTATAATTTTTTGTGTAACTTTTGAATGCAAACCATGACCTTTCTTTTCAGAAGTTTCGGCTAAAACTTTACTCGAAGATTTTAAATCTTTTGATTTTTTGACGAAATTCCAACTGCAATTAAACTCTTGGGCGATTTTATTTGTGCTTCAACTATCTGGAGCTACAGTGAGGATATGTAATTTTAAAGGATCATTAACTTCTAGTGAACTGAATTTATCTTTCAAACCCTGTAACATACGAGGGGGGGGGGGGGGGTCAATAAGTCTTTACAAAAAAAGGAAAAAAATGTTTTGCGTTGTAATTTTTTTTTATTTTTCAACATAATCTCCTTGAAGCTCGATACATTTTATTAAATAGCCTTCCAGTTTTTTTAAGCCATCAGAAAAATATGATTTCTGATAACCCTTAAAATAGGCATTTGTTGTCCAGTGATCGTCTGGCCCTTTTCCAAGTAATCGATGTAAGGAGTTTAATTTTATTTTGTCCTATTATTTTTAATGTGTAACTGTCTTTTATCATTTCATTCAACAGTTTTTCTAACGGACGAATATCCTCTACATTGTGGAGAAACATCGAAGAGGATTTGTTTCTCAGCGTATATACCTCATTATTCATGATATTTTCTAACGCATTTTGATTTTCTTTATAATCATAAAGTAGCTCGTACTAATTTTTTGATTTGCTTAGCCAGTAATCAGGTAATTAGGCTTGTAATTTTTTATTCATATTTCAGTTATTTGGCTGTTTCACGGTCATTTACCACTTACAATTTCCAGTTTCTATTGTTGTTATTAAGAAGAAACATGTCTTCTCCTATCAGAGTAGCTATTTCGGCCGATATTACATTTCCATTATAAATTTGGAGAATACTAATGGAATACTCAACTATCACTGCATTTAATTGGCTAATACCTTAGCTTCTCAGGTAAAGCACAGTGTTGGTATTTCTATTTATATCAATGGTCGAACACTAAATACCGCTAATTTTAAAACTAAAGACACTTTACATCTAAAAACTTTCTCTATCCCTAACTACAGGATACGCAAAACAAATCACCCACTCAACAAAGCACATGGAGGTACTGCAATCATTATCAAAATAAAAATTAATAATTACGTTCACGCACGCATCATTCATATTTATTTACAAGCAACCAATGTAATCATACAGAACAACAAAAACTCGAGCACAATGTCAGCCTTTTACTATCCCCCAAACAAAACAATAACAAAAGAAAATTGCACAGACTTTATTCACTCATTAGGAAATCATATTTTAACGGGAGGTAATTATAATGCGAAGCATTCGTGCTGGATAGATCACCAGTTGCAACCTTTAAATGTAGAATATTTTATTAAATACTACTCAAAAATAACTTTATCCTAATATTTACCGGAGATCTGACATATTGACCAACAGATGTGAATAAGTTATAAATTGAATTTACAACCAAGAAACAATATTATTAAGCTTCAGTTATTTGTTCATAACCAATTTTTGTCACCAAGATTTTAATTCTTTTTAAATATTTATGGTGTAAAAGTGAATAATTCGAAGAAAAACTAGAAAAATTTGATTATCTGGTTGATTTTAGTTTTGTAGTTCAAAATGCCAAATTAAAGGTTGCCTAAATACTGCAGTTATTCGTAGTATCTCATATTTTTATAGTTTATTTTCATTAAAAAAGGCTATGCAACACCTATAATTTAATTTTAAAAAAATTCAGGAACAATATTTTCCTATTGTCTTTTTAATTGTAAATTCAAAATTTAACTATTTTTTCCACTTCAGAAATGTATTGATTACAAGAAAAGATATTTAAAAGAAATTGTTTTTTAGGGTGAATTTTTAGGGCAGTTCCTACATTCCAAATATATTTTTTCGTTGATAAAAAAAACGGATATTTCTTATCTTTCAATGTATTATAACACATTCGAGAATCATGAAGATCGATGAGTTCGGGATGGGGTCCTTATAAGTGAAATAATTACGTACAGTTATATATTTATAACTTACTAATTAGGAAATCTGCATTTAGGCACTTGATCACCAGCAAAACCAGCCTTCACGACACCAGAACCCTGTAACATTTTTTTTAAAAATGAATATTATAATTATTGTAAATGTTTATATTTAAAATCGTATTCAAATGTCAAGTGAAATATTCATGGAGAAAACAACGCTAAATCAAAATATTTTACTTTATGCATAGTGCAGCCAATTAAGATTTTTCTACCCTCTATTCTCACCGTATACATTTTGCAAAAAATACGCTATTGGAACATTATATATTTCAATACTTTTAATTTATACCTAAATGGCTAAAGGTGTCTAGATACAGATATACCTATTCAAGATGTGAAGCATTAGAAGATTAATTTTTATATTTTTGTATTTTTTGGATATCCATAATTCATTTCATTTAATTTTCTATATTTATGTATTGTAACGGGTAAACGGTTAATTTGTGTTAGTTTGCGTAAAGGCACTACCGCATAAATATGGGAGGGCAGGATTGATCGGGACACGAACCGAAAATGGTTGGAAAACGCGCAAATGAAAGAAAAAGCGAACATGAAATTTTTATTTTATTGGTATTTATATATAAATAAAAAATTCTTGTCTTGGTTATACCAAGGCACCATATTCACCGGATATGGCCCTCTGCGACTTTTTCCTGTTCTCAAAACTCAAGAAACCCATGAAAAGACGGAGGTTTGGAACGATTAAGATAAAGAAAAAATCGCTGGAAGAACTCAAGGCTATACCAGAAAGTGCTTACCAGAAATGCTTAGAGGATTGGAAAAAACGTTGGTACAAGTATATTATAACTGAGGGGGATTGCTTTGAAGGGGACAACATAAATATTGATGAATAAATAAATATTTTTTCATAAAAATAAAAATTCACCTTACTTTTTGAACACACCTCGTACATGGTTTGTTCACTGTCTAAAAATTATCCAACATCCTTTAAGTCGTCAGTCTTCGTATGGTAGAATCTTCTTCCTTCTTCCTCTTGTTTCCTCCCTTTCAATTGCTCTATTTCTTTATCACCTTCTTTATAACCTACTTTTGCTTCTCTCCCTTGATCCTAATTCTTCTATCACCGTTATCGTTGTATCCTCACCACCCCTTACCACCCCTTGTCTCCTCTCTATTTCCTTTTGCCCTACTTTCCCTATATCTTCTACTAGCTTCTCAAGCGCCCTGGCATATTGACATGTTCCTTTCTCTAGTTTCCCTTCCAGTATCTTTCCTAATTTTCCAATCAGACCATCACCCTACTGTTTCCCCTCCAGTCATCTATCGCCTTTATCCATTCTTTATTAATGCACTTCCTCGTCGTCTCACAGATCCAAATGTGTTCGAGACCTTCTTGCTCCTTGCCACATACTCTGTATTCCTGTTTGATGAAACTTTTGTTTCCCTCTTTTCCTATGCTGCCGCGTCTTATTCTTGTCTATTCTTCTTTTCAGTGTCCTTCTCCGTCCCTTTCCTCTCAATATTTCTCCCTCCTTATACTAGTTTTGCATCTCTTGTAGTGCTTCCAGTAACTTGACTCGTCTATCTTACTCCATCTTGTTTGAATGTCTTGTTTGATTCTTGTTTTTAAAATTTGTCTCGTTGCCTCCAGTAATTTCTCTTTTTCGATTCCTTTTTTCATAAACTCCTTCAGTTCCCTATTTCTTGCTTTTGTAGCCGTATCGAGCTATTCCTCTCCCTATCTTGTTGGGTTATTGTTCAGCACTCCTCTTATTTTCTCCTTTAAGTATATTTTAGGTAGTCTATTATCCTCCATCTCCAAGATCTCACCTATATAGTTTGTCGCTCTCTTTATTGTTTCCAAGTAAAGGCTTCCTACTCCTGCCTCTATCTTCCATATACGAGGTGTGATCAAAAAGTAAGGTGAATTTTGAAATTTAGCGGGCTACGTCCGTTCGATCTTCGACTTTATTATTTGGTTATGTCGGTACACTCGTCTAGAACATACGTTCCAAATTTCAGCTTTGTAGTATGTTTGGTTTGTTTGTGAGAGGCATCAAGGTTAGAAGTGTTTTGCGTGCTCCACGATTTGCTGCTGTCTAAAAACATGGATCAAAGAGTTTGCATTAAATTTTGTGTGAAAAATGGAATCAAATGTTCCAAAACACTTGAAATGCTGAAAGTGGCATACGGTGAGTCTACTTTAAGCCAAAAAAATGTTTACAAGTGGTATAAACTCTTCCAAGAAGGCCGAGAAGACACCGACGACGAACCTCGTTCTGGACGCCCCAGCACATCAACAACTGATGAGAATGTTGAAGAAGTGAAGAAAATAGTCTTGGGAAATCGTCGAATTACCATTAGAGAAATTGCTGATGATATTGGCATCTCATTTGGTTCGAGCCAATCAATTTTGACGAGGGTTTTAGACATGAGACGTGTGTCAGCGAAGTTTGTTCCGAAATTGCTCAATTTCGACCAAAAGAAACGTCGCATGAGCATCGCCCAAGAGCTACTGAATGACGTCAACGATGATCCAGATTTACTCAACAGGGTTATAACAGGTGACGAAACATGGGTATACGGTTATGACGTCGAGACTAAGACTCAATCGTCCCAGTGGAGGCATTCTGGATCACCAAGACCAAAAAAAGCACGCCAAGTTCGATCAAATGTAAAGGTTTTGCTTACAGTTATCTTTGACTGCAGGGGCGTGGTGCATCATGAGTTCTTGCCACAGGGTAAAACAGTAAATAAGGAATATTACCTGCAAGTTATGCGCAATTTGCGCGAAGTAATCCGCCAGAAACGTCCGAATTTGTGGAAAAATAAGAATTGGCTTTTGCACCATAATAACGCCCCTGCTCACACATCGTTGCTTGTGCGCGAATTTTTGGCTAAAACCAACACAGTAACGATGCCACAGGCACCGTATTCCCCAGATCTGGCCCCCTGTGACTTCTTCTTGTTCCCAAAACTGAAGAGGCCCATGAAAGGACGGCGTTTTGCCACGAGTGAGGAGATAAAGACGGCATCGAAGGATGAACTAAACAAGATCACAAAAAATGATTTTTTGAAATGCTTTGAGGATTGGAAAAAGCGTTAGCACAAGTGCATTATATCCGAGGGGGATTACTTTGAAGGAGATAAAATAAAAATTGATGAATAAATAAATATTTTTTGAGAAAAATAAAAATTCACCTTACTTTTTGATCACACCTCGTATAGTCTGGGCTATTCCTGTTAATTCCTAATGCCATCTTGATTATTTTTGGTTGCACTTTTTCTAACTCTTTTTGGTTCGGCCATCCCCACACCTCCGACCCATATAAGCAATCCACTTTTCCCATTGAATTCAATATTGACAGTCTTCTGTTCACGATGTTTAGTCTAGCTTTCTTCATTAGGCCCCAAGTGCTGTTTACTGCCCTCTGTGCTTTTTGTTTCATTTTTCTTATATGATATCCGTATCCCCCCTTAAAGTAAACCAGAATCCTAAATTCGTATATTCTTTCACTACCTCTAGCCTTTCCCCTCCATCATTCTATTCTGCTTTCCTCTTTAGTCTCCCTTGTCTTTACTGCCATCACCTTTGTCTTCATTACGTTTCATTCCATACCGTTTTTGTTATATCTTCTTATGCTGTCTAGCATCTATTGTAGACCTTCCTGGGTGTCCATTAGCAGTACTATGTCATCTGCAAACTTTAAACCGTAGACCTTCTAGCCCTCTATGACAGAGCCCCCTTCTTTCCTAGTAGTCCACATCTTGTCTATATTGTTTAAGTATATGTTGAAAAGTGTCGGACTTAGAGGACAACCTTGTTTGACCCCCCTTTCAGTTCTAAACTCCTCAGATATTCTATTTTCCATAATCACCTCGCATGTTGTCTCTCTGTATATTTCTCTAACTATCTTCATCATTCTTCCTAAGACTTCCTCCTCTTCCAATTTTCTACACAGTATTTCTCTGTCCACTCAGTCGAAAGCTTTCTTAAAATCGATAAAGGGTAGGAAAATGCTTCCTCCTTTTCTTTTGACTTTATTTCCTATGATGCTGTTTAGCTTGAATATGTGGTCTCTCGTTCCCCTTGCTGTTCTAAACCCCGCCTGACTCTCCCATAATAAGCCTTCATCTTCTAACCAAGTTCTAAGCCTGTCATGCAGAATTCCCGCCAATAATTGTATCCCACGTTGAGCAGAGACACTCCTCTGTAATTCTCCGTCTTGTTGTCCTCTCCAGATTCATATATTGGGAATATACGAGTTCTCTTCCAATCCTTAAGTCTTCCTCCTTTTTCCCAAATCTCGTTTAAAGTTTCAGTTAGTTTCTTTAGCCAGCCCTTAGTTAAGCCCTTAAAGAACTCTCCTAGAATTCCGTTATGTCCAGCCGCTTTTCCTTTTTTTAATCCTTTTATTGCCTTCTCCACCTTTCCTCTGATAATTTTAAATTTTCAAAAATTTGCAATTTTGAAAAATCCGAAAAGTTCTCAAAAGTTTCTGAAAAAATTCCAGCGTGTTCTTTAATGAATACTAAAAACTTTTTATTTTATAACATTTTTTCTTAAAGTCTATCGTTTTTGAGTAAAAAATTCCTGAAGTTTGACATTTTTTCTAACTTTACCGCCATATTGTTTATTTCCATATGAAATTTAATAATTGTCAATGACCTAACTTCAAGTTTAGGACATTTGACGTGGTTTTCTTAGCTACAACAAGAACCCTTATGAGATTTCAATACGAAAACGTTCAATAAAAAAAAAAAGTATTGTATAAACTTAAAATCTTACCAGAAAATTTTAAAATCTTACTTTAATCAAAGAACTTTTAAGGTAAAAATAAATAATGATACCAGGAAACTTTACCCAATATAAACCGGTATTCCCCAAAGTAATGTTTTTAGCCCTATATTATATTTAATCTACATCCATGATCTTCCAACCATGGGAAACATTAATATTGTCACCTACGCTAACAACACAGTTATATTAACAACTCACTTAAATACAGCAACTGCCTTTAATAATATGAAAAATAACTAAACAAAGCTACACTTTGGTTGAACAAATGGAGAATAAAATCAGTAAAACAAAATCA